AGGCGAGTGTGAGGCGAGGTAGCGGCACCGGGAGGCCGTCTGTGTTTCCAGGCGACCCTTGATTTTTCATCCTGCTTCGCGGGGAAAGCCTCAGGCGAGCAGACTGGGGCATATTTATTTTGGAAACTTTGCAAATTTGTATCTTTTGACTCGGTGTCTGTTTGACGTACCGTTTGAACCTACGAAGCGCTAAAAATATTTTCTATCATATAAAAATAATTTCGAAAACAAGGGTGATTATTTATTGGGGGCTTATGCCCTTTTGTATGCAATTTTGTCTGTTATGCTGAGATATGTACATGGAATTATGTGTAATGATGATGTATGATGTTGTTGTAGTTGTATGATTTGTATGTTGCATGTGTGGACAGCTGGTGGCCTTAATGGTGTGTCATATTGATGGATATAGATATCAATATGTTGTAATTTATTTCATGATTGTGTCGCATGCATTTCATGTTGTGGATTTTTGTCTTATTTATTGGCTTTGATCCTAGAAGGCGTGGATCGGGAGTGATATGGACCTCATTGTTCATGATGTTAGTTGGCTTTAATCCTAGATGGCATGGATCAGGAGCGATGTAAACCAAATTATTCACGATATTGGTGGCTCTGGTCCTAAATGACGTGGATTTGGAAGCGATATTGGTACCACATGCATTGAGTCTGTAAGTCGATCTTATTGCATTGCATTGTTGTTAAGATGATGTTTGAGTTGTGTGATTGTTGTATGTACTACATGATGATGGTTGATACATGTGGATGATTATGTGTGTTTGTATAAGCAATATGTGATATATTTGTCGTCGATGGTGTGAATGTGTGAGATGTGGAATGTATGACTATGGATGAATATATTCTCTGTATACTTACTATCATTATATATTCCTTTATATTGTTGTGATATTTCACTCTTCTGTTGGAATGATGCTTTATACGATATCGTGCAGATAGTCATGAGTAGTCTGAGGCTGCAAGGATTGGAAGAGGTTTCTCTTCATTTTATTTTCGAGTTGGTGCCGTTGCTCTGATGCATAATACCGAGGGGATGAGCGCTTTATTGTTTTGTTTGATTTTAAATGAATTGTTGGAGTCTTATGAACTTCTTATTTATTGAATCATTGTTGGTTTATACTAGATGATAATTATTTGACATGAAATGTGATTCTTTTTCGGTGCTTAATAAAAGTTATAGTTGAAGACTAATGACATGTTATTTTTGGTTCATCTTTGAATGTGTTATGTATCTTATTCACCTTTATGAGCGGGTTTTGTATGTTTTTGGAAATGTAGCATCCTAATTGTATGTCGAATTTTTTATTTTAGAAATTACTCTGATTTATTACTTATTATTCTTCGGGAGAAATTAGGGTGTTACATTGCTGATGTCACGAGCTTCTTCAATGGTTGTTACCTTCATGTCAAATCTCTTAGGTAGAGAGATGATAATATTTCTAACAAGCTTTTCTTCTGACATCTTCTCTCCCAAGGCACTAGATGCATTTTCTATTTCAAGAACATTCATGTGAAATTCCTGAATGCTTTCATCATCATTCATCTTTAGGTTCTCAAATCTGGTAGTGAGAAGTTGAAGTCTGGACATCTTTTGGATGTGCCTTCATAAGTTGTCTTGAGGATTTCTCAAACATCTCTAGCCACAGTACATGAATTTATTAACCCGAAAACATTCTTGTCTACTCCATTGAATAGATCATTCAAAGCTTTGGAATTTCCAAGTGGTAATTCATATTCCTCTTTAGACCATTCTTCTTCTGGCTTCAAAGACTCATTCCAATCTTTTTTCTTCACAACAGGATGATTCCATCCTTTCAAAACAATCTTCCAAGAATTGTTGTCCATGGATTTCATAAAGGCTACCATTCTAACCTTTCAATATTCATAGTTTGCACCATCTAGCAAAGGTGGTATGTTATTGTATCCTACTTCCTTGTCCATAGTACCTAAAAGTATTCTCTCTGAAGGTCACCTAATAAATAGAACAGGGTGCCTGCTTTGATACCAATTGAAATTCTGACACTTTCAATTAGATGTTAATATTGATGTCCCAACACTAAAACACAACGTCAATATAGATGTTAAGACATCATCTGTTGACAAAATAATTTTACCAAATAATAAATTATGTAGAAGTAAATTGCATAAGGTAAAAATACACAGTTAACTGTTAACCCAGTTCAGTGCAACATCACCTACTATGGGGGCATCCAAGCCATGAAATAAATCCACTATAATAGTATTAGTTCATAGTTAAACAATCCTAGTTTACAACTGAAATAACCGGCTGAAAATCACCAGACAATGAAGTCGCCATTGAACGTCTTTTATCCCACATGAAGGGAAAGGTGAAAATCGAGAAAACCTAAGAATGGAGAAGTCATAGTATTATGATCGAGAGATCGGGTAAGGGAGTGCATTACATGAGGGGAAGGTATTAGCACCCCACACGCCCGTAGTACTCTATGGTATCCACTCTTGTTATCTATCTCATGGGTGTGTCTAGTCTATATCTACCGCTTAATACTGAAGAAAAATGCATGCAAAAGAAATGAAAAAATAATATAGGGAAAATAAAGTTGTGCTTGCTTGGGCCCTACCCCAATGCCTACGTGTCCTTTTTGAGGAATCAGAGTTACCGTAGTTCGGCTTACACGTTTTGTTTGTTTTGTGTTTTTTATGAACAATGTTAATTCCGCCTTCTAGTGCAGCTCAACCTTTAGAGACTCACGCGTTGACACAAAAGTAAATTAACATGTCCTTACTTGAAAAGGGTTTTGAGTTACACCCTCAAGACAAGATGCCACATTTGATTGGTTTGTGTTTTGTTACCTTGAAAAAGGGTTTAAGTGTGATTAGCATGTTTTATGATTTGCTAAGATAAGAGAGTCTTAGTTTTAAATGCATATGCAAAAAGGGGAAAACAACTAAGGGAGACTATCCTAGTACTACCCCTAATTTTATCATACAATGGTGGCCCTATTTCAAGGATGAAAGGGAAGCCTCTACCTAATGTTAGTATGCATGGTTTGCAACCTAAGGTCTAACTTGTATCCGAAAGGAACAAGTACATCCTAAGGGAACATGGTATAGAAAGAAAATGAACAAACAAGCTCGAAAGAGCACACACATTAAATGGTAAAGAAAAGAAGCTAAATGCTTTAGCCAAGGGGAGCGTATCACCTGAGAAAAACAAGTGGGAGTGTAAAATAAAAGAAGATAAATGCTTTATCTAAGGGGAGCGAACGAAGAAAACAAGCGGGAATAGGATGTAAAACAAAAATGTGATGTCCAAAGCGACTGAACACCTAACCAAGATATAGAAGATCGAGGTAGGCGACAGAAGGAAATATGAACAATCATGGAGCATCGGCATCATCCAATGCGAACTCCTGACAAAGTGTAGGGGATTCGTTGCAAAACCCTTTTTCCACTTGATGATTCGATAACAAGAGCAGGTACAACATCGACACATCGTGATGCGTCCTGAGCTAAGGATGACACAAATGAAATGTGGGGGTTGATTTCGAACCCTTTCTGCTTGCATTTTTTCGAGTACTTATCATATATAATATATGTTGGCACAAATGTAAACACACATGCAGAATACCTACTTCAAATGTAGGATTTTAAACAAACACAGATAACATACAGAAAGCGGTGCCTGCTACAGGACTTTAAACAACGACTTCGAGCGCACGCTCTTTATTTCCTACTTCTCATGATATCTAGAAAACAATAAAGTTCCTACTTCTAATGATATCTAGAAAACAATAAAGTGTTGAGATGTGTTAAATAAGATAAAATACCAAACGTACATCAATCCATAGCAAAGCGTATCAAAACAAAGAAACCTGACGATCTTCACGAAAGCTTCACCAATCAAAGAAAAGAGTCAGAAATCAAATGCTCAAAATAAGTGTTGAAGCATCATTGATGTGAAAATAAATCACAATCAAAATCTCAAGCGTATCCACATATCGCGCAATAAACCTGGATAAGACACAAATATCAACAAGCAAAGGTGAATTACAAATCTCAAGTAATCGAGTAATCTTGATTTAATTCCTAAAAATATCTCCTAAAATCTAATATTTTTATTAATCTTTTTGTTACATCAATATTTTTTATTAACAAAATTGTCAAATAATAATTATGAAAAGAAAAAAAAGCTAAACAAAAACTAAAAACAAAAACTATACATGGGGGTGTCGGCCTGAAACAGGGGGTACTGTAGTAACTCAGGGCGCTAGGCCCATTCAGTAGAGTCCAAAAGCAGTTTTTTGTTGTAAATATTCAAGTTATCAAAAAGAATAAGGAATAGGTCTTGAGGTAGTAGAATTTTGTTCCAATAATTTTAACCAAGATCCAAATCCAATTCAGATTTTTGTGACTTCTTCAAAGTTTCCAAAAAACAACAACGGACCTAGGCAAGTTCGGTTCGGCCTATCATCAGACATTCATCGGTCCATTTTATTTTTATTATTGAATTGAGAAAAAAATTAGACAAATTAATTGTAAAAATAAAGGTATTATGGTTCAAGAAAAACGACCCTTCAACTTCTTCGTCAAAATCGCTCTTCCCTATCTTATATGTTAACCGCAATGGCGATGACATCTTCTCCTTCTTCATTTAAATCGCGGCGGCTCAACTTCCCCTCCGTCTTGCTCCATCCCTCACTGCGGCACCACTATCCCAACATAACACCATCAAAACCTCTTTAACATCTCTCTGTCTCTTTATCATTTTCCTCAAACCTCCTTCTCCAATTGACAAATGAAGCGTCGCCGCTGCTTCTTCTTCTCTTATCACATATCCGTTCGATTCCTCCTTACTTCACTAATCATCATCTTCTTAGATTCGTTCTTCAGGTCCTCAGGATCATTGATCTGTCACCGTGTTCTACATAAGAACTATGCAAAGAAATTGAAGCTTCGAAGCTTCCAAATCCAATCACAGACTACACACATTCAAGCAAGATGTTATGCGAAAAGATGTGAGAAAATGGAAATTGAAACTCACCAGTCAGAGTTTGTCTGACGCGTCTTCTACGGTGGCGATTAGAAGCGGAAAACTAGAGATGTTAGCTTCTAGGTAACTTATCGAGCCTTGCTTCTGCGATTTAGTTTCTTTCTTCTTCCTTATCATTCTCTCACAATTTTTGTTTCAATTCACTTCTTATTTATCATTCTCTCGCGATTTTTATTTCAATTCACTTTTTCTTTTCGGTTTCGCTTCTAAGTTATTGATGTGTTGCAGATTCAGTGATGATATGATGAAGGTTGTTGTGATGAAAAAAAATAGTTGTGAAGTTGTTTGAATTTACTGAAGTGTAGATGATGATGCTGAGTGATAAGGATTAATGATGACTATGATGTGATAAAGATTGCGGCACAAGCTTATAGAATGAGATGATGACGCTTCCAGGTAACTTCTCGAGACTTGCTTCTGCGATTTAGTTTCTTTCTTCTTCCTTATCGCTCTCTCATAATTTTTGTTTCAATTCACTTCTTCTTTATCGTTCTCTCGCGATTTCTATTTCAATTCACTTCTTCTTTTCGGTTTCGCTTCTAAGTTGTTGATGTGTTACAGATTCAGTGATGATATGATGAAGGTTGCTGCGATGAAAAAAAATAGTTGTGAACTTATTTGAATTGGCTGAAGTGCAGATGATGATGTCAAGTGATAAGTATTAATGATGACTATGATTCGATAAAGATTGAGGCGCAAGCTTATAGCATGAGATGATGACGCTCAGAGAGATGAAGATTGAGGATGGTTCTCTGAAGAATCGGTTGCAGAAGATGAATAAATATTCGTCACCATCTTTGTGTTGCATAGAAAGATGAAGATATGAAATAATTTCATAGAATCAATTAGAGAGAGAGAACTTTAGAGAGTTTTGCCATTGTTTTTTTTTTATGATTCTCCAAGAATGTGAAGAATGGTGAATGTGAATCCCTCCCTCTCTTTTTTGTTATTTGTTAGGAAGTTGGTTAGAAAACAGTTAGGAAGTTCGTTAGTTGGTTGAGAATATGTTATAGGTAGTTTAGATTCGATTAGGGTTCTGTTAGATTTCTGTTATAATGTTCTGTTAAGAACTGATTTGAATGTAGTTAGCAGTGAGTTCTGTTAATTCAGTTATGTTAGATTGAAATTTGGAAGTTATTTGTTGAATTTAAATTTCTGTTAAGTGCTTGAAGTTGGAATTCTATTTTCGTGCCATGGCTTGTGTATGTATGAAATTGGTTCATGATATTGTATGGACACGGTGGGTTTGAATGTGTACGATATGTAGGTTATATTAAAGTGGTGGTTTTGGATATGCATAATTGTTTTTTTGTTGATTTTTATAGGGCAACAACTATTAACTTAGTTATTCGTTTTGGACAAGTTTATGAATGGTTAACTGGGTTGGTTTAATGATTTGCATCTTTTTCTATTCTAATATGCAGGGTTGTTGTGGTACTGTTTTATTAGCTTGTGCAGGGACATGGCTATACTCGTGATGATGATGAAGCGTGATGCAAAGAAGAAAGGTTACTTGGTAAAAATATTGAGGGCATGGCTAAGGTAGAAGCATGGTTTATGGCATGAGGATTAGAACATGAATAAACTTGGAGAAAATGAAGATGAAAGCATAAAGCTTTTAGGATATGTTTTTGTTTTGTGTAAATTTCCCTTTGTAATGTACTTGTGATGTAGTAATGGAAACTTGAAATTTAATGACCATGTAACCTTGTAATCTTTGAAATTCAATGATAAATTCCAATCCAAAGAAAACTTCTCTTCAAAGTTGTATGCTTCTTCTTTTGATTTTGTATTGTGTATGGAATGATGATGATTTTTTTTTAAAACTTCCTTGTGATAGACTTTTGAAGATGGTGACATTGTATGGTTTGTAACCCTAGACATACTTGAATGAAGAATGAATGTATCCTTTTATACAACTTTGCAAACTTTAGACTTCTAATCTCCATTTGTAGTTCACGATTACACCAAGGATTTGTCTTTATTTGCAAGTAAAATGACCATGTCTCAAAGGATCTTGAAGGAATTGGATGACTCTCAGAATCATATGACCTTGGTCCTCTAAAACTTTAGGATTTTACCAGAAACATAGGCTTTTAGCTTGAAATAGTTAAGAGGAATCCACATGAGAGTGTAGCTTGCATCTTAAGAAATACATGTAGTCAGATGACTAGCCTTGGATCAAGTCTCCATAAACCCTAATTGGTGAAGTGGATCCAAGTGAATTCACATCTTTCTTCAGCATGAAGTTCATGACCACATAAATTGTAATTCAAGTAACAAGTGAGCCCCTTTTGATTGACAAAGAAATTTCACTGAAAACCCTAGCTTGCCATGTACATCAAGCCTTGCATAAAGACTTGTACCTTCTTATTTGATGAAGAAATATATGATATAAGCCTTTGACACTGTGATGAGATACACTGATAAATAAACTTCTGGGAATCCCTCTTGGAGATCACGTATTTTATGGAAATAAACCATAAGTCATGTGGGTCTGATTAAGCACAAGGAGATGGCCTTCAAAGCTTGAGATTGTAGCCTTTGAAGATAGCCTTAGGGTTGACTTCCATTGTAAGAAAAAAAATCCTAATCTCATATTAAAGAAGCCAAAAATGTTAAGGAAAAGGAGCATTTAATTGATGTGGCTAGGCCCTGTACATTCATCAGACAACCTTGCATAAAGGACAAAATCCTAATCCATAGCCTATATTTTTAGTTGAAACATCCTTACAAAAGATAGAGAAACCCTAATTCCTCAATATCCTTGATCCCATGCTAAATTTATTGGTTAGTGATGCATGAGGTGTTAATTGAGCTAATGGAGGGTATGGAGATGAAATGAGAACAAAATTCATAAGCCAGATAATTGGATAAAAGGGTAGGATAAATTTGGGGTATTACAGCTGCCCCTATTTAATCGTCTTAAACCTGAAAGTACGATTAGCGCGTTCCTTTCAGACGTTCAATGTAGAATATGATTAAATACCAATGCCAAAAATTTGTTATGAAATAAGGTATGAGTATTTATTATCATTATTTTTGTGATATCTGTTGAGGAAAGAATTTTTCGTTTTCTGGTGAGAAGACTGAGATTGGACTTATAATGTAGCAACAAAGGCTAATACAATACGGAGATTGGACTTGTAACATGGCATGATGCTAATACAAGACAAGAATAGAATCGTAATATGGTGTGATGCCAATACAAGACAAAGGTTGGTACTAAAAGACGACAGATAAGATCTACGAGCGACCTACGATCCTAAGGTGAGACATAAGAGTGATCTGTCGGAGAACTAGGCCTATGGGCGACCTCAAGATTCTATGAAGATACCTATGGGCGATCTTCTGAAGAATTAGGCCTAAGCGTGACCTCATAATTCTAAAACAAGATTGTTATACGGTGGGAGAACTGACTTAGGTGTTTTGCATTTGATCCAATTGTTGCGGATAGCAAGAGTCGCCACCGACTTTTCTTTTATCCAATAAAGGAAAGGGTGAAAAGAACAGGAAAGACCTTTAGAGATGTTTTCTTGAGTTCGGGGGTAGGTTATGAAAAGGGGAGGTGTTATCACCATTTTCATCCGTAGTTATCTACGGGCACTTAGTTGCTTGCTAGATCACTTTTTGGAATTGCTTTATTTTGAAATGTGTTTTGTGGTGGGTTTTTAAAGTATTTTGAAAACGCCTTTGTTTCAGCAAACTTTGTAATGATTCTCGTCTCTATAAGAATGCGTACAAAGTGTTGGTTTTGAAAATAGTTCAAAGAGATGGTTTTTTGAATATGTTTTGAAAATGTAAGTGTGGAAATGGTTTTAGTTTGTAAGCAAGAAAATATGAGCGTCCTACCTACTCAAAAGGTCTTTATTATTTTCCTCCTCCTTTAGATGTTGCTATCTTACCATTGATTTGGTAAGAAGCCCCATCATTGGATGTGAAGGGACGGGCGTGGGTCAATTGTATAGTCATAGAAGGAAAATTATGAGACGTTTTAGCAATTTTCGTAAGGGACTAGATCGTTTATCAAAGGCAACATCGAGGGATATGGAGGGACTATGATCTTTTTTATCGAGGGTCTTTGCTAAAATGGCCATATTCGAGGGACATGACTATTTTCCTAGGCAACAAGCGAGGTTACCCTAGAGGTGCACGTGTGTGAATATTGTGTTTGATTGCATGCATTTTTGTCTTTGAAATTAGGGTTTTCTAACGGTTGATTTTATCTTGCCATACACACCCTAATTACTAACAATTTATACTAAAGCGGTAAATTACGGAAATTAGAATCCTAAGTTATTACATCATTAGGGGATGGGGATACAAATGTACAAATGGGGGGGGTGGAAAGTAATAAATTCATAATTATTACAACCATATTAAATAACAATGAAAGAAAATATATAGAAAACATAAAAAAAAACAAGAATAGCGCAAAAGAGAGGAAAAACCAATCTTTCAATTCATGCAGTATGGTTCGAAATATGCACCCTTCGATTCACATAGAAAAAAAGAAAATATTTTGATTCATGTAGTATGCACCTTTCGATTCACACACCCTTTCTTATTATGTTTGGGCCTGTAAAGCAGTGTGTGTCGAAGCCTAAGGCTTTGTGTCGCAGCATGTAGTAATTTCTCACTCCAACATTGTTTTATGGTCTGTACAGGTTAGTTCTTGATAAGAAAGGAAAACAAACAAAAAGAGTATCTTCGAAGGAAATGATTAATGATGTTTGAAACGAAGGGTTTAGAGTTAAGAAGACTTACCTTGAAGTTGGAATGTGTGTTTTGGATTTGAGTTGTTGCCTTCGAATACTCTTGGGTTTGAAAGAAAAGAAAAGAGGTGTTGTCTTTGTTGGTTATGGGCTCGAATGAAAAGAAATAGAGGTGTTGTGTTTTTTTTCTGGGTTTAAGAGTGTTCTAAGGCTTCAGCCTTGGGTTCTCTCCTCTCTCTTTTCTTTTCTTCTCCTTTTTTCTTCTCCAAAATCCCCCCCTTAGATGTGTTGTGAAACAACTTATTTATAGAAGAGTTTTGTTGAGGTTTTGGGGGGAAAACAAATGAAATTTTAACAGTTTGGGTATGTTCTTTTCATAGCTTTTGAGGTGAATATTTTATGTGCTAGTTTGGTGCAAATTAGGAGCAACATAGCAGGACTGTTTTACAGCAGTTTTGGAGTGTTGTGGCAGCTTGGTGCAGGACTGTTTCATAGCAGTGAGCAGACTGCTTTTGACATGGTTTTAGCTTGTTATGTGGACTTTGTTCAGCAAGCATCTTGAATACTTCACCCTTTCATTTTGATCATATATATCCACAACCTTCGACCAAACTCATCAATAGACGAAACAATATTTGTTTCCAACAAATGTGTATCCTTTGAATGGATCATACAACCTTCAACCAGACTCAACAACAGACGAAAAAATATGTTTCCAACAAATGTGTATCCTTCGAATGGACCACACAACCTTCGACCATACTCAATAATAAATGAAACAATATTTGTTTCCACCAAACGTATGTCCTTCGAATGGACCAAACAACCTTCAACCCAACTCAATAACATACGAAACAATATGTTTCCAACAAATGTGTGTCCTTCGAATTGACCACATAACCTGCGACCAGACTCAACAACAGACGAAATAATATTTGTTTCCACCAAATGTGTGTCCTTCAAATGGACAACACAACCTTCGACCAGACTCAACAACAGACGAAACAATATTTGTTTCTAACAAATGTGTGTCCTTCAAATGGTCTCAACTATTGAGCATGCAAGATGATCTCATTGGCATAGTCAAAACGAAAGAATTTATGGATTTCTTTCCTACCATTAACCATCATTTGATTAAGTGGTATAAAGTTCAAATGTCCAAACCTCAAATTGTAATTCATAGTGTAGAAACTATGTGTGTCGAAGGGTTTATAGGTGGAATCGAAGCAGGTTGTTTTGAAGGGAGCTATTGCCTTATGGATCGAAGCAAGAATGAAGTAAGTCATTGTCTTGTGGATCGAAGCAAGCATGAAGGAAGCCGCTACTTTGTTGATCGAAGCAAGCATGAAGGAAGCCTTTGCCTTGTGGACCGAAGCAATCATGAAGGAAGCTACTTCTTTGTTGATCGAAGCAAGCATGAAGGAAGTCATTGCCTTGTGGATCGAAGCAATCATGAAGGAAGCCATTGCCTTATGGATTGACGCAAGTATGAAGGAAGCCACTGCTCATTTGAAGCTTGCATGAAGGTAACCACTGCTCAGTCGAAGCTTATAGATCGAAGCTTCTTCTTCGATTTGTCCAAATCTGCCAACCACTCCTTTCGATCAGTCATGTAGCCTGAACCAGATTTTAAATTCAACATAGTTACCTGCATTTGCACACCCTTTTCGTCTGCTTTATACTTGTGCAAACTTGAGCTTTTGAAAATCTTTGTGAGAAATGTCTTGAGAAAAGAGAGGGAAAATTTTGGGGTACAACAGTTGCCCCTGTTCAATCTTCTCAAACCTGGGGAGTTAGATTGGCGAGTCCGTCATTCGTGACTTGAAGGTGG